CGAGATCAAATCATTAAATCATCTAAGGGAATGGGCTTATTGCCTATCACGAAAGAGGATGTTTGATGGAAATCCCACCTACGCGATTGGAGATCCCAAGATGTTGGTTCAAAGGGACAACTAAATCAAGCAGAATCTAAGAAAAGCACTGTAAAAATGCTCAATTTCCATGATGATAAACAGTGCTTCCTGTAATTATGTAAGGTTAAGCTTTATGGCTTTTAATGAGATAAGACCATAGCCTTCATATACATGTATATAGAGTATAACAGGATACTTTCTGTGTATATGACAGGTACATGGCAATCACCTAGTGAGTGTGAAATGAGGCCGTTCTAGGAGAATGAAGACAAGGCTATACTCTCTAAGTTCACTCATGATAAACCAGGCACGTTCAAGGCCACAATGAACACAATAGAGAACTGAACGCTACGAGAAGATGAAGCTGGGTTATATCTGTTGACTTGGTTTACACAAAAATCTGGGTGGTTCAAGACATCGCGTTCACTTCCTGGCTGAGTAAATCCGACATATGTAACAATGAGTGGTTCAAAGCTGAAATATGCTACTACCTCAGATACAGTTAGTTTTCGTTTATACTCTCAAAAAGTCCGTCTGTCGAGTCTGTAGTCTAGTTTGAGTCTGGTCTGCATAAGTTTATCGAGTCTGCATATGTTTAAAGTCATTTCTATTCATGTGGGGATTGTTGGAACTATTTTTTATAAAGCTTGCGGGCTTATAAAATTGTTTATGTGTGAATTGAAATGAGGTCTTATGGCCCAGTAGAAAAGCCTTGTAATAAAGGAAATAACCTTTTTTAAAAAAAAAAAAACCTTGTACAAAGGAAAACCTTGTAAAAAGAAAAACCCTTGTAAAAAGAAAAACCTTTATTAAAAAGGAAAATCCTTGTGAATGAAAAGGAAAAAAAGGACATGTAAAAAATCCCACATTGGTAGTTGGAAAAGTTTTTCACTATGATCTTCTACTATAAATACATAGCCTCTCTTGAGAGAAAGGCATCCAGACAGAAAAGAAAACCACACAGAAAAACAATAGCTTCTAGCAATTCTCTCTTGTATTAATATACTAAGTGTCTAGTGAGTTATGGCGTAGTTATTTCGGTTTGCAGATTCTATTATGGGTGTTGCATAATAGTCTTATCACGGTTTTATCCTGGGATTCAAAAATCGTAACAAACCATCACACATTACGGGCGATTTATTGAATTAAGGAAAGAGATCAAATCTCGACTCCGTATTAGTTAGTGTTTTCAAATCGGTTTTCAAAGTCTCGTTTTCATACTATTTCCTCAAGATATCATTTATAATTTCATTGATTTACTTCGTAATTTCAATTCGGATTTTTGCGGTCTTACAATAAAAACCAAAATCCAAATAAAATAATGTAAAATCCTGATCAATTTATTTAGTTGAACTTTTTTTTTTTTTACTTTTCATTTTTGTTTGGAAGTATTTTTCTAGTTAAAAATGTTGAAGACCTCATTAATAGCTAACACTCTCTTAGTTAGAGATCCCTAAAAGATCATGTTTAATCCTCCCTTTGAAACAATATTCGGTCATAATATTTCTCATGCTAATACCCATGTTCACTTTACTTTGTTTGGTGCTCCAAACCCTAATTTGAAAACATCTCAATAAGGATTCAAAATAATATTTAGTCATGATTTTTCTCCTAAACCATTATATCAAAACCACTTCAGAAAATTCTCTTTTAACTCTAACTAAAAAGTAAAGCCAGTAGGATATTTTCGTTTTTAATTTGGATGAAGATAATCATATAGATATATAGGTTTACCATCTCTACATCCATACATGGTGATCTTTGTTGAATTCTTTATGAAAGTGTTGTACTCGTTTACCGTAACATATTATAAAGTTAAAAAAATACACATTTGGGGTTATTTATAAGAGATTTAATAAATAGTATTCATAAGATTTCCACATTAGAGCTTGTAATGCTTCCTCTCCAAAGGCCAGATCTCTTCACAAGAGGTCTTTTAAAGCCTTTCAGAGGAATCTTGCTCCTTGGTAAAACAATGCTGGCTAAAGCCATTGCGAGAGAGCTGTAGCCAACGGCTGAGGCCACAATGGTATTGAGATCATGTGCTTTACAGCTCTTCTTTCTCTCTCTCTCCCACACTGAGGAGTAAAGACTCTCTTTTTTCTTTTCTCTCTCCTACTGTGTCTAAACTTCAGAATTCTTTCAAAGATACAAGAGGACCAACGCGCAAATATAACGCATAGGCCTTACGCCCCAATGAGAACAATAATCTCGTAAATTTTTTTTTGTCAACAACGCTAGTCCTGTTATTATTTGCAGTGAAGTGAATACTGAAAAGTGTTGATAACCTCACAATCCCCTTAACAAATAACTGGTACATGTTATATACAAATAATAATTACAACATCTTGCCTAGTGATAACACAATTTTTAATTTGGGTAACAACTGATAGCATTTGCAGATTTTTACAAAATAATTGGAAGAAGTTAAATCCATTTCTGAATTAGGAAAAATAGTTATAAAAATAGCATTATTTTATGTATTTCCCACTTGTAGACAATTTTTTACCGATTTTGCGTGATGAGAAAAAATAATACTCATACTATTGTTTATGTCTGGTGTTCAAGAGATTTTCTAATAATCTATTACAAAAAATAAATTTAATTTACGAAAGAAAAACTAGGAAAAAAATCTCTTTTTTTTACGGCACTAGGAAAAAAATCTATATATATGTTCATTTGAATTAAAACTATGGAAACTGATAAAGAATTCAACAAAACCAGGATTCTTTCTAGTAATGATGAAACTTATTACAAATAAGAAAGAGTACAAGTACATGTAATCTCAGCTTACAATGAACCTGCTCACTACAAAGCAAAAAATATTTTTTCCAACAATGTTTTCTAAACCCTTTGATCTGCTACTATATATTAACCCCAAAAGCAGCAGCATGTTTGCAGTCAAGTGAGAATTCTGGATTATACCCACATCTCTGCATCCCATTAAAGTTGAGGTTCCATACATTTTCATTGCTGGATGCTTGTGGTATATTATCCTTTCCATCATGGCTTTGGCTTCTGGGTGCTCCATGTTGCTCTTCGACCACTATTGTCTTCCCCTTTCTGGCTGCACCACAAGCATCCTGCCAAGTAGCAGCAGATGTTGTTGACTTAAGCAGCAACAACAACAACAATTCAGATAGATCGTCTCTCCTAAACTTCAATCTGAGAAATACCTCTTCTTCTACCGAAGTTGTAGATCCATCTTGTTAGCTGCAAAAGGTAAAATATATCTTTGCTTTTATTCCAAAATTCTGTTATTTACATGATTTTAGGTAAGGTTTCCAATACAAAGCCCTAAAATCATGTAAAGAACAGAATTTTGGAATAGAAGCAAAGATATATTTTACCTTTTGCAGTTCACAAGATGGATCTGCAACTTCGGTACAAGAAAAGGTATTTTTCAGATTGAAGTTTGGGAGAGACGTTCTATCTATATATATGTTGGTTATTTTTATACAATAAATAAAAATAAGATGCCGTCTAAAACGAATAAATAAATATGATAACACATCACACGTCACACATATTTGTGAAATACACTATAAATAAAATTTCATATATAGTCAATCAATTGATTTTAGATTATAGACCAATAAATGCTAACACCGAAGTTGCCATGGCTGTAATGATAATTCTCCCACCTGCAACACCAAAAGGCCAAACATATTAATTTTTTATGATTGCGAATTCAATTATCTTCCTGATAGTTGGACTTTTATTATGAGAAAGTCAAAATAAAAACATCATTTTTTAAAAGAAGAAAAAAATGAGGTTTTCATCTAAAATATAAACAAGCTATTTTAGCATGTAAACATAGACCAAATGATGTAGACGAATAAAAAAAAATAATCGAGGACACAGTATTATGCTCACCTTCCATAGTTTTAACAGAGAATGAGCCACTCGGTGACTGTGCAATTGGCAACCCGGCTGTGTCATACCTTAAAAAACATTTAGGAATATATAATTGAGCTATACGAGCATTCTTGCAACAGTGTGATATTCCTTGGACCGCAAGTCTCAAGCATACGCTGCAATTTGCTGGATCAAGATCAGGACTACACTGAACCATTGTGTCTAATGTATACGAATATTCGTCGAATTGATTCACTTGTCCCCTATCCCTCACATAATACGGCGTCGAAGAAGACAAAGAAGACTTTGATGCTGTGAGGATAATTAGCTGCTCTACCTTATTAGATAAAGTTTGTTGGAACGGGTTGAAAATGGAATCAGGAAAAGAATCGAGAGAGTATCTAGCGGACCAAGGTCCGCTTTCTACGAGACTGTAGAAGGAGACATTGGAGTATCGAACCATACACTCCTCATAGAATATTATAGCATTTTTTTTAGAAGTGCAGTTGTTTTTAGTGATCTCTAGGGTTGCGGTCTTGACACAGTCCGAACAAGATGTTTTGGTGATATCTCCTCTACAGAGGAACTTGCCATGGACTGTGTCGGGGCTAATACCGATTGTGACATTGGAATAGGTTCCAAGAGAGGAACGGTCGCGGAGAGAGGAGAGTAGGGTATCAAGGTTTGATTTGTATGGGCTGGTTTGTTTGAAGTTTTCTGATAACTCGTCGCAGAAAGTGTGCATGTGTTGAGGCTGGGACATGATTTTTTGAGATAATAGAGAGAGGAAGAAGAAGTAAGACAAATAAGCAGAGAATCTGATGAAATTTGCCATTTTCTTGTTCTTTCTTGTTTGTGAAGATACATTAAAACAGAGGAGAAAGCAAGCAATATATAGGGAAAATTCTTGTTTTATTTTAATTCATTCAAATATGTAACGTCCTATACCAAATCAGAGGGAGAACAGATCTTGTATCTGCAGGTGAATTAATCAGATGATTTCATCAATAAGAGTTGAATCCAAATTTCTGAACAAAGAACATCATCTTTTATTTACTTGTTCTTTAAACCATAAGACAAAAACATAAAGTTAATAAAATATTAAACTTTGTTAACGTATGAAGTGAAACATGGACTTGTTCTATATATATATATATATATTGAAGTTTGGAAGACAAGATCTGACGCAAAGACTAAATCTTCAAGGTCAACACAAACAGTTATTTGGATTTTCGGTAGAATCATCCAAATATATGACCATGGTCATCAAAACCAAAATCCAAATAAGATATATAATCTAAAATCCTGATCAAGTCATTTAGTTGAATTTGTTTTTTTTTTTTACTTTTCATATTTCATATTTCATTTTTGTTTTTTTTTTTTTGTTAAAATATTTCATTTTTGTTTGGAAGTATTTTTCTAGTTAAAAATGTTGGAAGACCTCATTAATAGCTAACACTCTCTTAGTTAGAGATCTCTAAATATCATGGTTTAATCCTTCCTTTGAAACAATATTCGGTCATAATATTTTTCATGTAATACCATGTTTACTTTATTTTGTTTGGTGCTTCAAACCCTAATTTGAAAACAGCTTAGAAATTAAGGATTCAAAATAACCATCTATTATATAATAGGAGAGTTTTCTCTTCATCTAGGGTGTCCACATCAGCAAACCATAAATAAATATGTATTTAATACATATATATATATTTATTAATGATATATTAAGTATAATTAAATTTAATAAAAATGATTTTAGTGTTAAAAAAAAAGAAATAAATGACAGTTGATGTATCAATAATTAAATAACTTTGTACTACTAAATAAATTAAAACTATCTATATTTTATTAAAAATGATATATTATTAAACTGAAAAAATTAGAATAAACAATAATAATTAAAAAAAATCAAAAGACAGAAAAATAGAAGAGATAATATAAATCAAAATATAAAAAAGAAGATGAAGACGAAATAATTAATATTAGAAGAAGAAGATAAAAAACCAAAAAAAAAAGAAAAAAGAAGAAATAGAAGTTGAAGACCATGAAAAAGAATTTTAAAATAAAAAATAAAAAGAAGAAAAATATGAAGCTGATGAAGAGAAATTTTAAAAAATATGAAGACAAAAATGTCAAAGATAACAAAGGAGAACAAGATAAATTTTAGAAAATATGAAGACAAAGATGTTAAAGGTAACTAAAGAAAATAGAAGATGAAGATAACAAACTATGAGAATATGAAGATGGAGAATGAGAAAAAAATCAAAAAAATAAAAAAATACACAAAATTAAAAAATTAAAAGAAGTTTATAATATAATTAAGAAAATTTATTGTTATATAGACACTCTAATAAAGATAACTAACATAACAAATGAATTAATAACACAAGGCAAATATAAGAAATTAATTAATATACTAAAAAAATCAAACAAATTATATATTAAGAAATAATATATAAAACATATAAAATATAAACAAGATTAAAATTCGTGTGAAGTGCGGACTCAACCCTAGTTTGTTTAATTAGTCTCTAAAGCAAAACAGAGCAGCGAGAGATATTATAGTTGAAAGAAAAAGAGCCTTTTTTTGTTAATTCATTCAAAATAACATCCAAATGAAAATGTTGTACCAATTCAGAGGAAGAACATGTAAAAACCATATGAATCATCAGATGATTTCATACTAAGACAAAATCATAATGTTGACTCATCTGTTTACTTAGTCTCCGAAAAAAAAGATACAGAGGAATGGAATGTTTCTTGCCGTTTTTGTGTGTGATTTTTGTTGTTTAACAAAACAGAGGACAGAAGAGAATCTGTAGTAGATAGAAAAGAGGCTTTTTTTTTAATAATGTTGTTGTACAAATTCAGAGAAAGAACAAATTTATGTAAAACTAATAATCTTCACGAAGACAAAATCATAGAGTTGACACAGTTGTTTTATGACTATTGAGCAAAACAGAGACTTAGTCCTACAATATAAACTGACAGAGTTTGAAGCAAAGAGAGACGCACTTATTGCAGATTCATGGCGGCGAATGGGAGAAGAATCAAACCATGAACAGGATAGGCCTGAGCTGCAAGATTTGTACCAAACATCATGGGATAGGCTTGTAGAGCTGGATTTGTTGTTGTACCTTGAGCTTCAAGATTTGTTGTACCAAACATCATAGGATAAAAACCAGCGGTAGAAAAGAACAACCCGGGAAGAGATATGGCAGCTGAAGGAGGAGTCGTGGCAACATTAAAGCCAGAGTAGCCAGATGCAGAGGAGCTACTCTTAGGTCCACATGCTGTGCATCCGGATGCTGGGGAAGAAACAGCAACGGTTTCATGGGGTCTCTCAACACTCTTTATGGGAGCAGAAACAGGAAATGTAGAGGATGATGAAGAAGATGTTGTTCCACCAGCAGCAGGGAAGCCAAAGCCAGAATTTTTCATGTTTCCTTCCGTTGTAACAGTGGTTGTCCTGTGACGATGATCAGGTATGATTCGAGGAGCAAATATCGACGGCGATGGGGAAAAGAAAGCGTTTGGCCTTGAGCCGGGAGAGACATGAGCAGGAGGAAAAAATCCGATCCCACCTGAACATGAGATTAGTCAATTACAGAGAGATCTATAAACAGAAAATGTTATTATTAAAGATATGACTAATGAGTTAGTTACCTTTGTCTCCGTGTTTGTAATCTTCCCACCTTAGTTCTTCATGGCTTTTATGTTGGTAAGAACTGGAAGCAGCTATGGAAGTAATCATATTGCGATGTCCTCGAAAATCACAATCTACGGGTGTAGGTGCATAACGAGGAAACCTACTACCTTGTTCAGTGGTTGGTGGGTTTGATCCAAAATGGTTAAAGGGAGATCCAGGAAAGTAATCAACACCAAATCCGGGAAACGAACTGCTGAATGGATTTTTCGGGCTAGTGTTTGAAGGCCAAACAGAACTAGTCTTGGCAAAATCTTGCGTTGGTCCAAACAGTGAAGAAACACTCGCTGGAGGAGGAGAACCAAAAACAGTTGTGGTAGTTGATGTATTTATTGCCGGCGGGAAACCAACGTCGGCTCTGGCAAAATCAAAACCGTTCCTAATCACTGAAGGAGAAGCAAAACTAGTCTTGGCAAAATCTTGTGTTGGCCCAAACATTGAAGAAACACTCACTCGAGGAGCACCAAAAACTGATGTGGTAGTTGATGTGTTTACTGCTGACGAGAAACCAACGACAGGTCTGGCCAAATCAACACTGTTCCTAAACTGTGAAAGAGAAGAAGAAGCAGTCTTGCCAAAATCTCCATAGCTAAAGGATGTCGAAGTGTTTGCTGCACTAGCTTGGACAGGAGTTTGCATTGACCCATTTATAGGTGATGTGGGACCAGCAAATGCAGAACTAACTGAAGTAACAGCAGGATGGAATTGAAACATGGTTGGTGAAAAATTTTGAACTGGAGATGAAGTTGAGGATGTGGTAGATGGTTTGGGAGCAGCAGATGCACCAAAACCAAACCTAGGTTGCATTAAACCACCAAAAATGGTAGGGCCAGAAGCTTGCGCTGGTGCAGAACTAAACGATGTGGCAGAAGGAGCGAATGCGAAACTGGTTGGTGAAGAAATCTGTCCTGGAGATGCAGTTGAAGACGTAGGAGCAGCAGATGCACAGGAACCAAACCCATGAGCTTGTATTGGCCTCACGAATGTAGATGACGTGGGAGCAGCAGATGAACCAGAACCGAGGTTGTTTGGGGCAAGAGATTGCGCTGGTTCGGAACTAACCGGTGTGATGTCAGGAGGAGCCAATGGAGTTAGTGTTCCGGATCTGATTGGTGAAGAACATCGAACTGGAGATGATGTTGAGGTGGTGGAACCGATAGCAGCAGAATCATGTCCAAGAGCTTGAACTGGTCGGGAACTAGCCGGCATTGTTGTAGCGACAGATGATGCAATCACATTGCTCGGTTCGGATTCTTGAGTATTGAGTATGCCTGAAGTGCGACAATGGTAACAGGTAACAAAGACGCAACCACATTCCTCTGGCTTAGAACAATCAATCCTCATTCTTCTTTTGATCTTCAAACTGATAACAAGGAAAGATAAAAAGAAACAATTTTGTTCAACATTTGAGGATAACTTTAATCGATTGAAATAGAAAACCCCTAAATCGACAGATAATTTGCAGAACTTATGAAATCAATGGTTAACAGAGAATCTAGTGAGACGAGAGCGAGTCTATGACTATGATGAAACAGTCTGTAAAGGCGTGCATAAGACGGAAGACTAAAGCTTTCAAAAACCCAAAGCCCTATTAACAAAAAATATATCATCCAAACCAAATCAAGCAAACAGAAACAAAGAATATATCGATCACTATTCAAAAAGATCATAGCTTTACATTAAAAAAAAAAAACCCCCACAAAATCGTCAAGTGTAAGAAGAAAATTGAACCTTGGACAAATAAGAGGCAGCAACGACAAAGAGATGAAAACAGAAAGAAAGAGGAACTTACGGAGGCAACAATGGCGGGTTTCGGATACTGAAACTGAAATAAAAGTTAGGGTTTTTATGGGGAGATTGAAAAGGAAGAAGATGAAGACGAAGAAAAAAAGTGATCTTTCAATATATAAGAAAGGATTTCGTCATTTGCCCGCGTCGCTTAAACGCTTCTTTTTAAGACTTTTTTCTCTTTTTATTTTCAGGCGTTGTTTTCACGCCGGACGGTCTCGACATAAGACAAACCCATTATTCTTAATGCTTAAACGCTTAAACGCTTCTTAAGATTATTTTAAAATTTGAGAAATCTTCATCATTTACTTTTTTTTGCCTTGTAACTTTTGTGCTAGAGAAAATATAACTTTAGTTTATTAAACAGAGAATATTATTAAAAATGAACTCACAGCCTAAGCCATTTTAAGAAATAAATCGTTTTATATATCTAAAATGAAACTTTGGGTATTGACCAAACTGTTAACATGTGGCCATATTTTAAGAAAAAAAAAATGCTTGTATAGAAAATTTACATTTGAATCAAATATCGTTTAGTGAAGAATATCAGAGGAAAATATTTGAATTGAATATACATTGAGAGTACAAAGGAAAGAGAATACCAAAAACAGTTAAAGTTTCTTTGTTCCAAAATTAAACTCTCCCTAAAATTTAGTATATATACGTATGAGTTGAGATCAATGGAAAAGCACACAAAATATTACAAGTCTTTATATATTTTCAAGCACACGTTTTTAAGTGAGGAAACATGAAAAGCTCTTTCACATTCACCATCTTCTTCTTCGCTCTCCTCCTTACCTCATGTTAGTCATCTCTTTCTCAATATATTTATATATATATGTATATATATATATATGTAGTTTTGTACGTAAGCTTTTTGAATACGTTGTGAAAATAACGAATTTATGTAATGAGTTTGGTGTGTGTATATTTTATAGGTGTGGTGATGAGTGCGAGGATGCAAGAAGGCACAAATGATGTGTTGAGGCCTATAACATGCAATACCAATCAAGATTGCGCTAAGTTTTGCAAAGGTCCCATTCACAAGTGCCAATTTCATACTTGTGCCTGCGTACCCGGAAATCCTAATTGTTGCTAGAAACACCCCTACACACATCAATTTTCGTTTGCTTCTGATTCAAATATTCTTTTTTGCATTGGAATTATATTTATTTACACAAAGAAATAAAAATCTTATTCTTTTCCTTGTTCTTCGGCGATCCTAGGGTTTAACCATTACTTGTTGCAATTTCCAAGACGCAAAATTGCTACAGAACTGAACAGTACCATCCCACCATGTCACAAATATATAGAAAATTCTAAAACAATACTTAATATGAAAAGGGTGGGCGTATAATTTTGAAAGAAAGCAACTTTCTTCGAGTAATCAGGACAATGTACAAACATTTGTGCTACTGAAATTCTAAACTTTACTAATTTCATCTGCAAATGCATCCAAGATTATGCCTGATTGTTTTATGATACAAGGTAAAATGTATGTATATATATGCCTATAAAGGAAAGGAGGAAAAGATAACTTTCTTATATGTCTTAAACCCTTGAAATTGGAGAGAAAGTGACGTTAGGCATGAAAGACGAAAGTACTTCTTCTCTGGTATCTCTGTTTACCGGAGTTTCCATGTCAATAAGCTCTCTGAGTGAACTGCATCTAGACAAAGAGTTGCTTCTTTCTCCTCTTGAGGTAACAGTTTTATGCAGCTCGGCGACACAGACTGAGAATGCTTGTAAAGCTGAGAGCTTTGCGTGGAAGTTTACCTCGTAATGTCCTTCTCTGATGAACACCATTGTCATTGCCGGTGTGATCTCCTTCCCGCCCTGAAACGCAGATTTCTTTCAATATCTCAAGATCAAGAGAGAGTTGAGTTGAATAATACTTTGGTACCACAAGGAAAAGATCTTACCTCAATGAATAGTTCTAAGCCGTGGTGATTGTTGATGAGTTTTGGCTCTTCTGAAAAATGGGTTTCAGGAGTTTCCAAGACAAAAAGGTGACAGCCCATGTCCCATCCGCTACAATCACAGCCTCCACCTGATCTCCATCTCTGCAGTATCGGCGTAGGACATGAGTTTTCTGCATCAGGCAAACCGTGGTTTCCTGTTGGAACTATAACTTTCACCTCTCGACTTGAGAGTTCACTGTTCTTCATGTACCCAAAACTCTCATTGCTAGAGGAAGAGTCTCGAATAACTATTGCGGCAATCTCTAGGCCTGGATGTAAATCCGAGGCTGGCCAAGGATCAGATGCACTAGTCTCTGAACGTTTTGATAGCGTACGGGTCAGTCCTCGGCCGAAACTGTTCTGCCTTGGCAGCTTTTCTTTTCTTAGGTTCGAGTTAATTGAGCCATCATATACTCTGTTCTCTGTCTCTGTACTCGGATCCAATCCTCTTCTAAAACTGTTCTGTCTTGATAGCAGCTCATGCTTGAAGCCACTTCTCTGTGCACGTGCAATGTCAAAAAGAATGAATTCTGACACAGTTGATTCCACAGGATCTTCATATGGTTCTGGCTCTAAGCAGATGTGAGTTGAGACTTGCATCTGTCCTATCAACAAAGATTCTATACCTGAAACATTGAACCGCCGTTCACCGAGGTTTTTGTTGCTTCTTGCACGGATGTAGCGAAACGAATAGACAAACCGAGAGTCATTATCATCCATCCATGTACTGGCCATATACACATCATCCGGGTGGTCTAGCGAGAACGTGAAGACAGGCATACCAAGTTCATATTCCATGCTGAGATGGGCACGTAGATGAACAGGTGAAGACTTTCTGAAGGAAACGTTCCTTGAGAGCATATCTCTGCCACTGACCTTGATCTCGCCTGATTTTGGTATCAGAGGATTTCGATTTGAAAATGGATTAGAGAGTTTCTTGATACGGCTAAACCAGCTTGAACTATTCGTAGAAGAAGACTGATTGCTTCCCTTTGAAGAAGACATAAACGGCAATTGCATTCTAGCGGAGAATGACTTTTGCAATCTCGGTTCCATGTTTCTTTCTGAACCTAAAGACATAGCTGATCTTTGTTGTTGTTGTTGTTGTTGTTGTTGTTGTCTCGCGTTTGTGTTCAGACGAACCCCAAAGAAACCACCAGAAGAATATTGTTCCACGGAAAACCTCTCGGCATCTGATATGTTCCTTCTGCTTCTTTCCTTGGAAGCATGGTTTAAGAAACCGTGTCTCTCCTTTGCCTTGTTTCCCAGTTTTGTAGGTCTCGGAGGAATGCTCTTGCACGAGGAGTTGAGAACTCGATAGAACATAAACTCATCCTCTTCCCCTGGCTTCTGGGAGTTGAAGAAATCACGTAGAGTAGGGATAACGTTTTCAGAACATTGTGACATCTTTGCTGCGTTTGTAGAATTAACAAATCTCTATCACCATCAGAAAAAGGCCAAACTTCTGCAGAAGATCTGTTGAAGGCAAATACCTTGATCATTATTGTAATATCAGCTCCATGGACAAACAAGGAGCCTTTGATCTTAATGCAGAAGAGAAGCTAGCAAACAGATACAGAAAATGAATAGAAAAGATTACTTACGAGTCAGTTCTGAAAATGATGGAAGAGCAAAAGAGGATGCAAAATCTGAATGCAGCTTCTTGAGGAAACTGTCACTGTTCATGAACCTTTACAAAGAGAAGAAGCTAAAGTTGCAAATCTCGATAAAGAGGTCAAAATTCAGCTACAATTTTACAGATCTAAAGCCCCATGTAACATAGGAATCAACTAGTTGTGAATGTAATGAAAGCAACGGAAAAAAAAGTTGTACAAAAAATCATTATAAAAAAGACACAGCTTTAATTTCACTTGCATTCTAAGCCAATCATAGAAAGGGTGTGCAAAAAGAAACAATCAATTACCAATCGATGGTTTCAGAGTAGTGATCCTGAAGGGTAGTAGAATTAAAAGCAGATACAATCATTAATCCAACTAAAAATCAAAAGAAGAATATCCAGAGCGGAGAGGAGCCTTCGAAACTCCAGTACATTAAAAAAAAAATAACAACTTTTCTGTACATTTTCTTTCAAATCTCTTCTATTAAATATATAAGCAACTCCAAATAACAAGAGGAAAGGTGGCATTTTTAAGATTTTAGCTAAAAGAACTCATCTCTTTCTCAGATGTTACTCTTAATTTGATCCACCTATGGCTTTACATTTTCCTCTTAGTTTGACATTTTGGACTTCCCATCTTAAAATTACATTGGGAGCAAAAATACCGTTTAATCATGCTTCATGCATCATACCATATATGATAACGTTACACTTAACATGAAAAGTACCTCTCTTTGAAAAATAATAAGTCATGGAAGAACAGATGAATGGTATAACTAGCAATTTTCGAATCCTCTTAACATTCAGCAACCATGTTAAAAGCCCATATAGTTGCAGGTCATATTTCCAGCAAAAGATCTGCCAAGTTAAAGCCAAAAGCGGCAAGTAAAATAAAATTAAGGTCACTCTTCAATTGCTCAGAAACACAAAGTAGCATAATCAAGGCTTGAAGGCCAACATTTTGACAAGACATGAGCTTCAGGGTCGATAGTGATTCTCGCCGGCGACTGGAGAGAGAGAGAAGAAGAAGAAGCAGTGAAGACAAACTAAAAAAGCATGCTTTTTGTTATCCGTAATGGGCTTTAACAGAATGTTTAGATAAAGCCCAATTTGGTAATTATTAGACTATGGGCTTGATTGGTTTAACCGCAGCGGTTGCAGTTGTGAGTGCGGAAGTTTGCGGAACCGAACGATTGTGGTTTTGAACTTTATTCAGCGGTTTACACGACTGGTTAAATTTTTTAAAGCGAATCTGTTTGCAGGACATTTTTGACAGGCAAACCAACGGTTGTTTTAGAAATTAAATATAAAATTACCAAGATAAACATCATATATATTTATAAAAAAACAAAAAAAACTATATGATACATATCAAAATCACTATTTTAAAATAATTAATACATCTTATAAATAAATACTAAATAATTATTTTAAAAACTAATAAATTTTATAATAATATATTTTATTTCAATTATTAGAAACATCACCCAAAATTGTGTCTAATAATGTAATAGACTGAAAAAAATTTGTTCCAATACGTGGATCTTCTGGATTATCATATGTATGATGTAAAATTTCTTCAATTGATCTAATCAATTTTTAGCACGACCCCAACTCAAATCAACTCCAAATTGCTCATTAGTATTCAAAATACATTTTTTCTTGAGTTTATTTTTCCACAATGATTCGTTGAATCTAGAATCTAGAATATTTATCTTGAGTTTATTTTTCCACAATGATTCGTTGAAGTAATGCACATGTCATTTCGTTTAATTATGTAACTTTCTGAAGAACAGAAAAAAGAATTATAACAAACTAATTTTGTAATTAATAAGATACATATTAATAATTTTTTACTTTAAAAGTGGAAACAGAAAAAATTTATATATAAAAGATGGCCAACTCTTTCTATATGAGTGCCACCTCAGCATTTTAGAGTTAATATGGAGATGACATGTGTCAATTTTTAATTTGAAGTTATAATTTTTAAATAAAATTAATTAATAAATTTTAATATTAAGTTCTTAACCACTCAAAGAAAATGAAAAGTTTTTTTATTAATTGATTCTTAATTAACATTTATATAAATATTAAACAAAAATTTATGTTATAATTAATTAAAAATATTGATGATTTTTTGTATAAAAACTTTTGATTTTTTAATAATATGAAAAGTTTTTTTATTAATTGATTCTTAAATAACATTTATGTAAATATTGAACAAGAATTTATGTTATAGTTAATTAAAAATATTGATGTTTTTTTGGTATAAAAATTTAAAATTTTTAATGATATTGCATTTAAAATTGATTGATTTATAATAATATATCAATTGATTATTATGTTTTTTTTAGAAAAAGAAAAAATATATAAATTTGAAGTAGTTGAAGAAAAAAACCCGCACTTTATGTGCGGGGTATTCACCTAGTTAATATAAATGAACTAAACCAAAGTATTATGGCACTTACTTGTATTTTAATTTTCTTCAACTGATATGAAAGTCATGATTAGAAACTAGAACTTGATAGAAAAAGTGAGAAGTTTAGGGTTTATATATATAAGAGAAGATTAGTAGGGTTAGGATTTTATAATTGTTTTTAACGTGATCTTCTATTTTTTTTCTAGCGTGATTTTATTTTTTAAAAAATTTGTTTTATCCAATCGCTACCGTCCACAACCGCAAACGTTGGCGGGAAGCAGTTTTTGGATTTCAACGGTATAAAAAGATACGGAACGGTTTACATCAATTTTTATGATTGTGATAAAACGCAACTAACCGCTACCAACGGCAAACGCTGCTTTTGCGAGTGATAGCGGGCGGGTGAACCAATTAACACCTATATAGTGTGTTGTAGATAGCGTTTAGTCAACCAATGGCCTATAGCTCAGATCGAGAGGTCACCGGTTCGAATACGATTGAGCCCTATTCCACTTTTTTTTTGTTTTCCAAAATCCAGCTACTTAGTAAATTTATATGATATCACGTGATAATAGATGACTATTAGGATCTTATGGTAACTATGAGTATATGCTTGTGTTTGTGGCTGTGCGAGATACTGATATCTGCAAAGTGCAAGAACGAAACCAACACAAATATGAAAACACAACAACATTTCTAATATGCAAAATTCAAAAGATCATCAAAAAACCAAATACATAGTGCTCTCTTCTTCTTTACATACATATTACAAAACATTGATTACAAATAATGGAACTCTCATCAAAGCAAATCCACAATCACACTGTTCCCAATCTATGACCAAATCTCCATCAAAGTACGAAACTTTTTCTTTTGTATAACAGGGAATTTGTTCATGCCAGTAATGAGTAACCGAAAAAACAAAAACAGAGTCCAATACGCGGCAGTAGACCAAATGATGAATGCTTCAAGTGATGATTTTTATAAAAAGAAAAGATAAAAAGAAAAGGGAAGGGAACAAGGAGAGCGAAACCCGATACTGACCAGTGATGATGCACACGATATGAGAACAGTGTAGTAGCTTCTATCTACTGCAAAACCTATGGGGGACACTTCGGTAATGTAAGAAGACAAAACAATCTACTTGTTTCCTCTCTCGCTTTCCTCTTCATGTTTCTGTATCATCATCATAGCGCATTTCTTTTGCTTTCGAGCATTGATCCGTCTTTAAGAGCAGCGTGAGCTTCGTTCTCTTGTCCTAGAGCTGATAGAGCTACAGCTTGAAGATAAGATGCGATATGCCAAGCAGGAGATATCACTTGGGCTTGCATCGCATCGTTCAATGCCTCTTGGGGCATCTCATTCATTAAGTAACACAGACTTCTCCTTGCATAAACAGTTGGGGAAACCATTGTCCCGCCCTCTATGAACTGTCAAAACAAAACTCTTTTGGATCAGAAAATTGTGGTGGGAGTTGCCTAGAATATACTTACGAAAGCAACAAAGTATCTAACCTGAGAATAGCATTCAGCGGCATTGGCGAAGTCTTTATGTCGGAAAGCAACATCTCCCTTTTTCTTGAAGTTCAGTGAATCTTGCATCTGGTTGGTCCACATCTGGAACGAAAGCTGAAAACGACGCAACGAGCAAGCCAAAAAGAGGTGATCATCAGGTTACAATAAGAAACAAGGAAGACCAATTAACTGAAGATCCCAAAGTTATAATCTAGCCAAGGACTCGCAATGAGACATTTACAAGAATGATTAAGAACAAGTTTGGAATTAGGAAAGGAACCTCTGTGGCTGCACCCTCATCATCTTTATATCCAAGTTTTTCAACAATCTCATGTATAGCCGTTAGATCAGTTCTCAAGCATGCTTCTCCGAGTGGTGAAAGAGGCGTTGTTGAGGCACTGCTTGGTATGCCCATCAGTTGATGTGAAGGAGTCTTTCATGATTAACCAGGTTCTTTATTAGTCTCAGAAATAATCTTTTCAAATGCAAAAAAATATAAGAGCTAATGTGATTTAGTGTGAACAGAATTGTTTATAGAGTTAATGGTTGTAGAAAAAGTACCTCAAGGTCCTTCTGAAGAGGAATCATTGCAGTGACTAAAGATTTTGGGTTAGGCCGTTCTCGAGGCTCATACTGCAAGCATCTAGATGCTAACCGTATTAGTTCAGTCCCATCATCACTTGAAAATTGGCCCTCCAAGCATGAATCGATCAACATTTGAATGTTCCTGTCCCGTATAAGGTCCAGAGCCTACGAAGAAACAGTACAAGTAAAGTTTTAATCTGAGGAGATTTGACAGACACTCAGAAATGATTTGGTAGAGATGGGCCTTAATCAAAAGCTTACATGGCTTGGAGGAATATGTTTTCCACTAAGAAGATCAAGCAACAGAGTTCCATAACTGTACATCACACTTTCTGGTGTCACGCGACCTGTAGAAACAAACACACAAACTATTATGTCAAGAGAAAATTGTGCCAACTCCAAATGAATTTAAAAACTGATATGCAAGAAGCATATACCTGTTCTGAGATACTCAGGAGGTGTGAACGCCAGGTTGGTGCTATAACTCTTTCCATCTCTACTATTTTTCATCAGACCAAAGCACGAAAGCCTTGGATTTGAGTCCTAAGAAGAGAAACAAGTGACGATTTTATATGCACATATTAACAGGGAACAAAAGCATATAAGAAAAAACCATGTAAGCTTACATCATCAAAGAGAACTCTATAAGCATTTAGGTCATGGTAGAGTGCACGTCCTTTGCCGGTACAATACTCTAAAGCTTGAGCAATATGTAAAGCTACTCTTAGTCGCATCGCCCACTTCATCGGTTGTGACTCCCCTAGAACAAATCAATAGTTTTTGTTTACAAACTAAGCTTGATGTACACATACATAGAAAGGCATAACCAAAAAGGCGAGCTAAATTCTTACAGTGGAAAAGATGCTTGGCCAAGGTTTCGTTGGGCATAAACTCTGCAACAAGAAGTCTCTCTTCACCTTCATAGCAACATCCAAGCAGATTTGCCATTCTGTAGTTCCTTAATTGACCAACAGCTTTAGCTTCCTCCTATTGAAGATTAAAAAAATAGGGATTCAAAAATCCAAGAAGTAAACCCACCAGATTGCAAAAAGGTAAGAGCTTTAAGGAGATTCAGCAACAAGATTTTTACCAGAAACTGACGAGAATCAGGCCAAGCTTTCCTATTAAACCTTTTGACAGCAATACGTCTTTGATTATCCAATTTGCCTTTGTACACAACATTTGGAGCTTTTTCTCCATGCTCTGAAACTATATTCTCTGCAGCAAATCCTGATGTAGCGTTCCTTAGCGTCTCGATCGAGAATTCACGAAACTGAGGCAAATCATTCCCTTCACCTCTCCTATCATCATCTAAGAAAAAAAAGACAAAAAATCAACGATTAAGACAACAACAACAACAACAACAACAAAACCTAGAAAATTTTGAAGAAAGCTCGATCATAGCTAAAAGTTTTACCTAAGCCTGTGACTCCATGATTGGATCCTTCTGGCTCTGAAACGCAACAAAATGCACACAACTTGGAAGCCTCACAACCCATTCCAGTATTTCAGTCAAACCATAAACCCTAAACCGCGTCTCTTTTGCTAATTTATATCAATCGAGACTTTGAACAGATCAAATCCGTGTTGAATTTTTCAAAGTTCCCGAAAGGAAGAAAAAAAAAGTTCAGCTTGATGTTCTTCAACTTACAAAATGATACCAAAATGGTCAAAATCGAGAAAACGATCGGTGAAGAAAAAAAAAAACAAACTGAAATTGAGCAAAAGAAGAAAGAAGAAGAAGAAGAGGAGGAAGAGGAAGAAAAAGGAAAAAGGTGAAATGACGAATCGAGCCGCTCGTGTGTGTGCTTAGCTCGAGAGAGAAAGCTCAAGAACCGAAATTTTCTGAAACTTTTCTTTTGTTGCCTTTTTCTATCCTTTATTTTTCTCGAAGACAAAAGCAGAGAACTTTGCCAGAAAGTATAGAATTAAAAATTAAATCTTTTTTTTTTTGTTTAGTATAGAAAAGAAAGAGAGAAACAGCAAAGCAGCAGGCCTCACCAAGTCAACTCACCAGTGGGTCAAATAAAACTCAAGGAACAACTCATATTTGCTATCATACATAACAACCATCAATTTTTGAGTTATCAAAAACAGAAAAAAAAAATATCAAGATATTTTACATTTCTAGTTCATATATTTTCTTACATTACACGGTTTTATGAAGAAAAAAAAACAACAGAAATATTATAGTATAACAGTACTAACAAACAAAGAAATTTGTTGGAAGTTGTCTATTTATTTTGTATAAGTGTTACATCTTGTTTTAATCCTCATTTAGTCATTCTTGTTGTTGTTTTTTCACTTCCACAAATTTGCTCAAAATTTTATTTAATTGATTTTTCATTTTTAAACAATTTACTTTTTTGCATTATTCCACACAATTTATTATATATTTGTCCACAACTAAAATAGTATGAAGATAACAAACAAAAAATTGAATTGATTTATTATTTATTAATTTTTATTACTGTTGTTATCGCTCGGATTAAAACAAATGAATGTGAATCATAGCCAGGAAAAAAAACAGTCGCTAAATCAATTTACTTTTCTTGCATTATTCGATAAGATGAGTAACCAACCACAAGTTTGCTTACATATTTCTCCTTAATAAATAACAAATATATCCTTGTGATAACCCGTTTAAACACAGTGAGGCTATACTAAGATTGCTAGAAATTCGTGGATACGATTGTTTGCATTATAAATGTTAATGAACGGTTTATAAGGTTTTCATTTTTGTTTAAACGGTTTAAAAGGTTAATGCAACTATTAGAATAAAATGCATTTGAAAGTAATATTATCAACACAAGTAATCTGTTAGTTCATCTTTGTATTGTTGCCGTGTTATAATTCAAATTTAAATCTAAAATAGAAATATATATGTGTTTTACTTGTCGTGCTTTTAAAATAATCCGCTAAAACAATTCTTTTAAACATAGTCTGACTATGATTATGGAGTTTATAGATGCGAACATTTTGCACTTATAGTTTTGAAGGGTTTATGAGATTGAGACAGATGTAATGGTTGAAACAAAATGTGTGTGTGTGTGTGTTTTTTTTGTTTTTAAGCGAACATTTTGCACTTCTGTAATGGTTTCTTTGTAAAGTTTTATATTATGAAACAGCATTGTTATAATGCTGGACGCGTCGCATTGCACACACTTAAGCACCCTATTCTAATTCCATCTAATAGATTCGTAGCTGTCTTTAAATAGTATATATATATATATATATTTTATATTAACCAGTTCATTGCTAAATATGCACATACATGCCATTTGCGCTTACAGCTATATAGTTAACAATTTATCGTTTTCTCAAAACATAATGAAATACGAAAGAGGATAATTAATGGGAATGTGAACAAGAGAAAGGAAATTTGAGGTTCATCAAGATAATTGCCACCGACATAACGCTCCAATATTTTTGTTTATTTCCAAACAGTAGAAACGCCTTTTCACCGACCATCCCATCTTACCTGGCTACCTGCGATATCGAGATTTTTTCCACATTTTGTTTTGGTTCCTTACCTTGAAAAACAGAGTTTTTTCCCTCATTTTCTTGAATAATAATTTTAAATTAATATGTTAATTATAAAAATCAGGAGGTAAAAGATTTAAACAATTGATATGTTACTGTCAGAAAATTAATTTTATTATTACAAAAATTAGGAGGTAAAATATTTAAAACTATTCGGGACACGTAATTTAGCTTACTGTCGGAAACTAATTTAGCTACTGAATCACTGGGCAGCTTTATTATGGGCCTTACAAGAAAAGCCTTCATCATTTAGGCCTAACAATCCGTTATAGCGGTTAAATATAGACTACTCGTAGTTCCTCTTCAGTTAAAATAAACGGCAAGCAGTTCTTCTTCAATAGAAACCGACACGAAGGTCTCTTCGCCTAAACACAAACTGAGAACAGTTCGCTTCCTTGTCTCCGTTTCGTAATTTCCGTTACTATCCAAACCCAATTTTGGAAATTCGGCAAGTGAGCTTTATAAAGAAACGATTTTTTATCAAAAATCCATTTTCCAAATCTTCACAAACCAAATTCGTGTGAAAGAATAATAAATTTCCTTGCACTTCGTCTCCTCTACTAGTTTTCACGAGCTCTGTTTCTCTCTTCAGAATTTCAAAGGTAAATTGCTAAAAACCCTAGAATTTGAATTGCCCTCACTGTTCCTGAAATTTCGGTTTTAGGGTTATTGATCAAATTGGCTTAAAAAATTCTTGTTCGTAGGTTATGAATGTGAGTTTTAGTGGATGTGTTTGGTAATGGGAAAAGGTAGAGTTAAGGCAGTGGAGAAGAGGGTTTTAGATCAGAAACTTAGAGGATCGGTTAATGTGCCGTCTGGACCGGTTTATTATCCGACCGAAGAGGAATTCAAAGATCCATTAGAGTATATATACAAGATCAAGCCAGAGGCAGAGGTTTATGGGATTTGCAAGATTGTTCCGCCTAAATGTTGGAAACCGCCTTTCGGTTTGGATTTGGAATCTGTCAAGTTTCCAACAAAGACACAAGAGATTCACCGGTTGCAGTTCCGTCCTGCTTCTTGTAATCCCAAGACGTTTCAGCTTGAGTACAATAGGTTTTTGGAGGAGCATTTAGGGAAGAAGCTGAAGAAGAAAGTGGTCTTTGAAGGAGATGATTTGGATTTGTGTAAGCTGTTCAATGCGGTGAAGAGGTTTGGGGGTTATGACAAGGTTATCAAGGGGAAGAGATGGGGGGAAGTTTATCAGTTCATGAGCTCTGGAGAAAAGATCTCTAAATGCGCTAAGCATGTCTTGTGTCAGTTATACAAAGAGCATTTGCATGATTTTGAGAACTATCACAACCGGATGAATGCAGATGCTGCAAAGGGATGCAAAAGGATTCGAAGATGCTCTGAACTCTCGAGCTCAAAGAGAAGGAAAAGAAATGGTGAAGGAAACAATCCCAAGGTGGAAAATGAGGAAGGGGTTGATCAAGCATGTGAGCAATGCAAAAGTGGCAAACACGGCGAAGTGATGCTTTTGTGTGATAGTTGTAATAAAGGTTGGCATATCTATTGTCTCTCGCCACCACTGAAGCATATCCCACCTGGGAACTGGTACTGCCTTGAGTGCTTAAACACTGATGAAGAAACGTTTGGATTTGTGCCCGGTAAATGCTTATCGCTTGAAGATTTTAAGCGCATTGCTGATCGTGCGAAGAGGAAGTGGTTTGGTTCAGGGTCAGTGTCTAGGACGCAGATAGAGAAAAAGTTTTGGGAAATAGTAGAAGGATCAGTTGGCGAGGTTGAAGTCATGTATGGTAATGATTTGGATACGTCTGTTTATGGGAGTGGTTTTCCTCGAATAGGCGACCAAAGACCAGAATCAGTTGAGGAAAATATATGGGATGAATATTGTGGTAGTCCCTGGAATCTCAATAACATGCCCAAGTTGAAAGGATCTATGCTTCAGGCCATTCGGCATAACATTAATGGTGTTACAGTGCCTTGGCTATATCTTGGAATGCTCTTCTCTTCTTTTTGTTGGCATTTTGAGGACCATTGTTTTTACTCTGTGAATTATCTACACTGGTATGTACCTGTACAGTAATTTTCATCCTGTTTCTTTCTACTGTTATTCGTCGTGCTTTTGAAGCATATAGAGTATTGCGCTATTTTCGATTCTGGAAAGTCGCCAGTTTCCCTTATTCTATACTTTATAGTCAACTCTCAAATTTTCATTCAAATTGAGTCTCTTAATTGCGTCTTTTATCTTGAAAGAGTCTGTTACCGAATAATGAATTATATATTTTTTTTATTCATACCTCAGGGGAGAAGCAAAATGTTGGTATGGTGTTCCAGGCAGTGCTGCTAGTGCTTTTGAAAAGGTTAGTTTTTCTTTTGTTTATAGGTGATCCAAGCCTCAAACGGGTTTTAATTGATGCTATTAAAATTGGCTAGTTATTCACAGTCTAGTAGAAGTTCTTTGTTCTTCATTGGAATATATACATACTTTCAGAAACTAAAGTTAAGGTGTGCTTGCTATCTCTGTAGGTCATGCGGAAAACACTTCCTGATCTCTTTGATGCTCAGCCAGATTTGCTCTTTCAACTGGTTACCATGCTGAGCCCGACTGTTTTACAAGAAAATAAAGTACCGGTCTACACAGTATTACAGGTTTGATATATAACTATATAGTTCATTGATAAGCAATTGATTAGCATTTCTATTGCAAGTTTGTATTTGTTAGCATTTCTAAAATCACAGAGTTCTTTTTAGTATTCCAACATAATCCCTCTACTTTTTCTCACTGCTAGGAGCCTGGAAACTTTGTGATCACATTTCCAAAATCCTTTCATGCTGGATTCAATTTCGGTACGCCAACTCTAATTTTGATTATCATAGTCACGTCACCAGTTGCGTGTTAAACTGTTTAAATCAATTTCATTAGGGAGTTTGGTTAGCAATGCCATTGTACAGGTTATGATAAACTAGCATATTTTGTCTTTCCAGGTTTAAATTGCGCAGAGGCCGTCAACTTTGCCACTGCTGATTGGCTACCTCATGGTGGTTCTGGGGCAGAGCTGTACCGGCTGTACCGGAAACCTGCAGTCATATCTCACGAAGAGCTTCTCTGTGTGGTAGCTAAGGTAGAGAAAAAAATATTAGCAAAGCATTAAAACTTGATATGAAAGGCTTGTAAGATGAGTTGTATGCCCATTTTCGTCTGGTTGGACCGATGTCCATAATTAGTATTTATTTTTGAGCTGTCACTAATATAACTCCATAAAGTAAAATGCTCAATTCATTTTATTCTTTGTCGAGTGGTCATATCAAATGATGGCAATAGCTTCAGGTGAATGCTTCAAGCTTGTTCTGCTTTTATGTGTCGATGGATTTGTTGGTTTTGGTTGATTAATTAATTGTCTATATCTTTTGCATTCACGAAAGAAGATTTAGTACTAGAATTACTAATTTTGCTACCCTAGATCAAATAGGATAGTGGCTACTGGAGATATCAACATTTAAAGAGGCATAACTTATAGATTGGACGGGATGATCCACTATTAATATATTGTTGGCTACTAGTAGAATTGTGTATGCTAGCTTCAAGCAACAAATGTGGATATTTGCGCAGCCTCCGTAACTATTTTAATTGTCTTCTCTTATAGGGAAACTGCTACAGTAGCGAAGGGTCGATACATTTGAAGAAAGAATTGCTCAGAATATACAGCAAGGAAAAAACCTGGAGAGAGCAGCTCTGGAAAAGTGGTATTTTGAGATCTTCTCCTATGTTTCTGCCTGAATGCTCTGATTCTGTGGGCATCGAAGAGGTTTTTCTTTCTGCAATCAGATATTGTTGGTTTCGATGTTCAGTTTTTCGACTCTTTCATGCTACTTTCATAAAATAATGCTCTGAGGTGTGGACTTTTATAACGTTATTTGTAGGATCCAGCATGCATCATCTGCCAGCAGTTTCTGCATCTTTCTGCTATCGTCTGCAATTGCAGGCCATCTGTTTTTGCATGCTTGGAGGTAAATATTTATGTTTTAACCTTTTATAGAGCGATCAACTTCAGGCAGGCAGCAGGCTAGCATATTTTACCGATAGAACCTGTTGAGGGTTCTAGAGGTGCATTACAATAGCCACATTTTTTTCTTAACAATCTTGTTTCTTGATTTTGCCATTTACCTACGTGTTAATAATCTTGAATCCAGCACTGGAAGCACCTCTGTGAATGTGAACCTACAAAGTTGCGTCTTGTATATCGTTATACCCTTGCCGAGTTGCATGGGATGATACTAGAAGTTGAAAATTCTGGTGGCTGTAAAACACAAGAAACTAAAAACTCACAACGGCCGAGTTCAGGGACCAAACGATCTGTTTCTTTCAACAAAAAGGTAAATACATACTTATGGTTTGCAAAATAACACTGCTGATTCTTGTTTTCTGTTCTCGTTATTGGATTATATATGACCGGTAGCACAGCCATTCTTAATCCTTATCTCTTCTATATAAGGATTTTATAAAATTCAGTATTAAATTAGTAAGGAGTTATTAACCTAGACTTTGTATATATGATATCATATGGTTGCTTGGGCCTTGAATCTTATTATAATCTCTTGCTGCATTTCTGATACTAGCAGGAGGGAATGCAAGTTAGTCAGGCACGACCAGCAGAAGATTGGCTTCTTCGCGCATCAAAGGTTTTCGACGATGTCTTTTCTAGTGTTGAGTATGCCATCCTCTTGAAGGAAGCAGAACAGTTTCTTTGGGCTGGATCAGAAATGGACCGCGTGAGTTTCGAGTATCTGTTGGAAGGCTTTTGTATATATCTCTTTGGGTAGATTCTCGAGAAAACCTTTTCTATATATGTTGCACAGGTACGAGATGTTGCAAAAAGTTTGATCAAAGCAAAGATATGGGCTGAAGCTGTTAGTGACTGTCTTTCAAAAGTCGAATGTAAAGCCAACAATGATTCACAGAAAGTTCACTTGGAGTTTATTGATGAGTTGCTGAGAGTTGACCCCGTTCCTTGCTTCCACTCTGGTCATCTTAAATTAAAGGTTAGCCATGTACCTGCAATGAACCAGTTTTCCTTGAGATCGTTATACTGTTTTTTTGCAATTATTGTTATCACTTTTGTAAGCACGTTTCCATTTCTGTGTAGGACTATGCTGAAGAGGCTAGAAAGTTGTCTGAGAAAACCGATTCTCTTCTGTCAAGTTGCCCAACTGTATGACACTACCAACTCCGTTACTTCCATACATAGTTTTGAAGAAACTGCCTTTTTGTTATATGACAGTCCAATCTAGCTAAATTCAGTAAAATCATTCATGTTATGCATTTTGATTAGTGTTACTTGTTTTTGTTGGTAGATTACTCAGCTGGAGCTATTGCATTCCGAAGTATCCAGTTCACCAATCTCCCTAAGAAAACACGAGAACTTGTCAAAGAAAATCTCTTCCGCAAAGGTAGGTCATGGTTCAGACATACATACACATACTTATTTTTTCCTCTAGCTCAAAATATCTTAGTAGTCACGTTTTGTGGTTTAAAGAACAGGACAATCTGTTATGAGGGTGTGTGAGTTCAGATGAATATGTGAATATTATTGGTTTGAATTAAGATTCCATATATAATAAATACTGGGGTATGTTTGAATTATGAGATTTGATGTGCATAAGTGTTCGATTAATTTCAGATCTATATAGATATCCTTTTTTCTAAGCTACTTGGGGGTGAATAACCAACTTGATTATCGATGAATTTGCTTATGGGAGGCTCATAGTGTTTAGGCTCATAGTGTTTAGGATCCTTGTTAATTTTAGAGGTATCTATTCAGTAATTTTCTCAGTGCCTGCATATCCACGAAGGTCTTAGAGATACTTGACGCCATGTGGGTGCAAAAAAAATCTAGTTGTATTTGCCTTCCTTATTTTTTGCAAAGCTTACTATCATAATCCTAGTCTAGCGGTTCCGATTTTCCAGGTTCTCTTTCCTTTCTTGCCTTGTATTGAATTGACAATCTCTCTTCCTCATGGGTCCTCAGATGTTAGCTGAAAGGGCGAGATTCTATCTCGCAGATACAAAACCTCCAGGAGTTGAACTGGATGCTCTTTCTAAGCTAAAGTCAGAGGTGACTGTATATATTCTCTTTCGGAAAATGATAACACTGTTATTTTGATCATTTGTTCTAATCGTCTTTTCACTGTAATAGATATTGGAGCTTCACGTGCAACTTCCAGAAACAGAAGATATCCTGGATTTGCTAAAGAAATCAGAATCAGCCCGTGATAAATGTAAACAAGTTTTGAGTGGTTCTAGATCTCTCAAGGTTGGCTTTTCTTTTGTTCTTTATCTTTTGGTGTGACTAACAAGAAACACTTTTTTTGAACCTTTCTGAAGTCATTTGTTTCTTTTCTGCACAGAATGTGGAAGAGTTGCTTCATGAATTCGATAGTTTCAGCATTAACATTCCCGAGTTGAATATCCTGAGGCAGTACCATGTTGACACTTTGTCTTGGATGTCACGCTTTAATGATACAATGGTTGATGTCCGTGAAGGCAAGGACCAACGAAAGCTAATCAGTGACCTGAGTTCCCTTCTACAGGATGGAGCATCGTTAGGCATTCAAGGTCTTACTTTTATACTTAGACATTCTTTTATGGCCTTGTCTGCTCCCCACCTACTTTTGCGTTGTAATGGATTGTCATAGCATAGACCTAACCACAGTACCTGAAATAGTTGAAGGACTGCCTCTTGTTGAGGATGAACTGAAGAAGGCATCTTGCCGGGAAAAAGCTCAAACGGTAAATGTTTTTTTTCTTTATTTTTGTAAAAAATTGAATTTGTTTCTTTAATCTCGAATAGTTATCAAGATTTCCTGAAAACAATTTGCAATACATCTTTGCATTGTTTCATTTGATATTGAATGCAAAATGCATGAAAATTTGTTGTGCATTATGAAATAGTATTAGGTTCCATGTTTCGAGTGCTCTTTCCGTGGTTCATATCTTTGATGCAGCTTTTTTGGTATGGAACTTGATGTAGGTTTATGCTGCAAGAAAGTCTCTGGATTTCATTGAGCAGCTGCTCTCGGAAGCTGTTGTGTACGTTGTCCATTAATATTGATTATAGAATATGTAATTGGCATTCTACTTCTTTTTTATTCTCATGCCAAGACTTGCTCTTTCCAGACTACACATCGAGGAGGAGAAGTTATTTGTTGAGATCTCTGGAATTTTGTCAGCAGCGCGGTGTTGGGAGGAAAGAGCAAGCAGTATCCTTGCTAGTGCAGCTCAGATGTACGAGCTTAAAGATCTCATAAGGTATTTTTATGTTCAGGCTTTGTAATTTTCTTTTAACTCAGCCCATGCTTAGTATTTCTTAAGTCATTTATTCATTAAAAGATGCTGTTCCTAGGACGTCAGTCAACATTGATGCCGTTTTGCCCTCTCTGAAGGGCATAGAGAACACAATTTCGTTGGCTGAAACTTGGCTTCAGAAATCTGAGCCTTTTTTATCTGCCGCTTCTTCTATGGCATCGTCTCCGTGTACTCCGCTTGAACTTCCTGTATTAAAGGTTTGTCTGCCTCCTGTGCCTACTATGGTTTCTGTTTTCTGTAACATGTGATTTTGGAGTATTCAATGCTTTAACTTTTGCAGGACCTAGTTTCTCAGTCTAAATCGCTTAATGTTCAACTTCAAGAGCCAATGATTCTTGAAACATTGTTGCTTAACTGCGAGAGGTGGCAGTGTGACAATCATCAGCTCTTGCAAGAAACTGAAGATTTATTGGACAATGCGAAAATAGATGATGGTTTGCATAGCACGATCCTTCCGAAAATTAGGGATTTGATAACCAGAGTAGAGTCCGCTATAACATCGGGTGTGTCCCTTGGTATCAATTTGGATGAGCTTCCCAAACTTCAAACGGCAAGTTTAAAACTAGGATGGTTTTGTAAGACCATCTCGTTAAGCTCTAGCTCACCTTCGTCTGAGGTACAAATAGAGTGCTGAATTTTAGTTGGATTTTACACTTTTGTTCAAGATGTATGTGTGGTTACGTACCCCTTTTGATCGTTTAATTGCACCTTTAAATGGCAGTTTCTAGTCGATATAGGAAAGCCCTCGTTAAAGCAAATCCAGCAACACTTAAACGAGGTATGTTCTGATAATGTATCAACTTCCTATGCCTACTGAGATGCCTTTAGGTTACGTGTAGAGATTTGGATTCTCTTATCTGGTTACCCAAGTGATCTGCTTGATGAGTTTTGGTTATTTGCTTCTTGACAGGGACAAACACTGAAAATATTACCTGAAGAGTATTACTTAGGCAAGAGGCTCGTGGAGCTAAAAGACACTGGATTAGAGTGGGTTAAACGAGCTAGAAAGGTACATGACCAACACACGGTTTCTCAGTCAGTTGGTTACTACCCATTTGGAATGCTTAACGAAAATGGGAGTTATTGGTTTAATCCGCAGGTGGTGACAGACTCGGGTGCTCTTGCCTTGGAAGATGTTTTCGAGCTTATTTCTGAGGGTGAAAATTTGCCTGTCCATGCAGAGGAAGAACTTCAGGTTAATGAGAAATGAATGTTAATAAGCTTAGCACATAACCTTACTGTTATCTAAGACTGTTTGTGTCATGGTTGATTGATGTAGTCCTTACGAGCTCGGAGTATGTTACATTGCATTTGTCTAAAGCCATACAACTCAAGATCCATGGTTTCTTGTACTCAATGTGGCGAATGGTATCACACCTATTGTGTTAAACTTCATTGGCGGCCCGAGGCTTATGTTTGCTCTGCTTGCTGTCCAGTGGCGGAATCCACTCCACAGATTGATCCCCCCAGGTTTGTTCCTTTACCATCCAAACACAATTCCACCAACATTTTTAATTTTTATTCACCTATGTTATGTTCAAAGCATACTCTTTTGAAGCCTCTATACCTTGCCTTCATTCAGTAGTTTGATTCACCATCAAAAGCTATTTGCCATGTGGGTTCTGTGAGGTTTATTGGCTTAGACCCCGAGTTTTTGCAAGTTTTTCAATGAGATGCTTAAGTTAACACAATCACTATCACTTTTCTTTCCTTTTTTTCCGGATCTATTTGTTTGATTGATATCTCTATTAACAGATCAGGGGATCTAGAGACACCGTCACTGAACCATAGACGGACAAGAACGGTACCGACTGATGCAGCAGTTGATGATTTACAGTGGAAAAACCGAAAACGCATCAAACGGATAGGTAAACGGAATCCTCAGGTTCATATTCTTCCCTGGTTTTTCACTGTAGAACCAAAATAATCTCAGAGTCTAAGAATATAGAGCAATTTAATTTATTCAATTTAGATAGGTTGTATCAAGTCATTTTTTTTCTTTGTAATCTTTCCATTACAAAATGGAGAACATAAAAGGTTTTGGACTTAACAGATTATTGGATCCGTAACCTGAATTTAATGATACTGCATTAGTTTAAAACTATATCACAACTATGTATATATATACACCCAATTTCCATGTTTTAATGTTCTGTCCAACATATTTTAAGGTTCTGAAATCGAATCTCTTGTTAGTTGTTATCAGAACAGCAATTTATGGACTGATATATTCTAGAAATTCTTGTGTTGTTATAACACAAAATTTTGTTGTCATTGGTTACTTTTACCATTGATGTGTATGTAAGTATGTAATTCTATCAAAAGTTAATATCAATGGAATACTGATTATAACAATTTTATCTTCTTAAAAAAATAATTATTCATAAAATGTAATTTTCAATATATATCATGGGTATCCTTGATATATGTTAAGACAAAAAAAAGGATTCAAATTTAAAATGAACATACTCTACGAACACCAGATTATCAGCAGCTATTAGAAATTTGAAACTATTGGACCAAAAAAAAATCTCCGGACCACCACAATGTGTGAAGAGAATCATATCTCTATCCCCACAAATACATGAGAAGGAAAATAAAAAAAAGCAACAGTTGAGATCACTTTCCTTACAAGAATCAGAGAGAGACCCACTTTTGATGACATCATGTTTCACAGACCCACAATCTTAATACATCATCATCTCTTTCTCTCTATATGTATATATACATACACGTATAATGTGTATATATATGCATTCTGAAGATATTAACTAAGGCACTTTCATAGAAACAGAGCTTTATTGTACCTTTTCAGACACCATCCTCAAGCTGAAAGCCTCCTTCAACACTCTTCTTCCATTTTAGAAAATCTACATTTATTGTGATTTACACTTCTTAAGTTTACATTTATTGTGACTAATTTTTGTATGTTTATAGCCATTTAAGTGAGAAAAAACAATGAAGTTCAGTACTAGTCGGCCTCAAATATGTATGCGATATTTCATGAAATTTTGCAAGTTAAGAAGATATATAAAAAGACAAGTCACATTGATTTAGGTGAAAGTTGGCAAAAAAAAGTTAGAGAAAAAAAGTCAAAATTATTGTATTCTATTGTGAAAAGTCAAATTTATGTAGGTGTTGAAGCTGTTAGTGTGGATTGTTGACAAATCAAGCTATTTAGTGTAAAGATTAAGGACAGACTATTAATTTTTATGAAGAAATTAATCAGAAATTGGATTTGTGAGTAGCAAAACAAAATCTAAAAGACTTTATTTATATCTAGCTTGAAATTATGACTAAATGGAATTTTTGGTCGGGTTCTTTAGCCACCGGATATTAAATGCATCATACAAACTTTCAAATTAGGTAGAAATATTTAGAGGTACATATGATTTTTTTTTACATAATCGCGTTGAAAACTTTTAAAAGAAAAATATATTTAGAGAAAAGAAAGTAAATTAAAAAGGAGAATATAGAAATGGGAAAAAAATAAAGTTAGGAGAGAGGGCTCACTGTCCGAAGCAAAGAAAGAAATAGCAAAGTGATTTAGACATGTGAGAGAGAGATATCCCTCTTGGCTCTCTTTTCAAGTGGGTCCCATTCTCTCTCCTCTCTTTAGTCAACAACACATCTCTCTCATAAAAACCCTCTTTTTAATCAAGAACCAACAAATAAAGTCGCTTTGTTTGTCTTAAAACAAAATTATTAATCTAGTTTTTTTCTTTTTCCAAGCCCCAAATTTGTTGTTCTAGACTTCTAGTTAATTTTTTTATATTAAAAAATAACTAAATTGACGTTAAAATAACATTAAAGTAATTAAGAACATAACATAATGTACAACATATAACTAACAATAAATTTGTACAAGCCACTTGGATTACCAATGGATGTAACTGAACAAGTAATTGGTTTAAAAACAGATTTGAACAAGTAAAGTATATATATATATATATATATGAATAAAAAACATAGGAAACAAATGCGAATGGTGGGGGTTAAATTATACTCCCTCCGTTTTTTATTAGTTGTCGTTTTAGAGAATTTTGTTTGTTTTAAATTAGTTGTCGTTTTCAGTTTTCAATGTAATATTTATTAGTTTTTATTTTTTCAAATTATTTTTATTATGCAATTTATTTTATTATTGGTTGAATTATGTTTAAATAGATAATTAATGACGTTTTTATATTAAAAAAGTAAAACAATTAATATTTTCTTAATCTGTGTGCATAACCTTAAAACGACAACTAAATAAATCCGGAGGGAGTATATACATAAGTTTCGTTGGTTTTTTTAAGGAAAAAATAGTATATTATCCTATTTTTTAGAATATAACTAGATGAATACCCGCGTATACACGCAGGTCTTTTTTATAATGTATTTTTTTAAATTTCACAATAAATTGATGACTTTAATACTGTGTAAAAATCTATTATTTCTGTTATATATATTTAAAAATAGAAAGATTTTTTTAAAATATTAAATTGTTCTAAATATCTATAGTTTAACACAAATGCACTGATATATTTTAAACTATATCACGTTGTGTACACTTCTCTCAACTCCTATAAAAACTTCTTAGCTCTCTCTTAACCACAGTGATATAGTTGTTATTTGTTTCACATTGTTAAAAATTATTGTTGCATTATTAAAATATTACTCTAAATCTACTTTGAAAACTATTTTTGTATTTTGGATTTGTAATTTTCTTAAAAAACCTAATTATACGATAATATTTGCCAATGAAATCACCAAAACACAATCTTAATCCAATCCTTCTAAACACTACACACACACACACTCTCTCTCTCAAATAGATTCTTTGAACGATAACATTTTACTACTCATTTTTTCATCTTTTGTTCCACTTAGTTCCTACATGATTGGTGCCAAACTTTCAACAATTTTTCTTTTTTTGAACATGGTAAAATATATTTACCTCTGTTTAGTAGGTTATAAGTATTTCTATGGAATGTATTAAAATGATTAGTAAATTTTTTATTTTAACCATTAATTAGCTAAACAAACTGTCATACATATCCACAAACATTTACATAAACTTTATATTATAAGCAAATAAATAAAATTTTGGTAAATTATAATTAAAGAACTCTTAAGCTATACAATAACACTGTTACTTATTGACCCAGCTAATATATTCTACACATACTCACAATTAGACTCATAGAATATAGACCTCCATTGGCGGTCTCCTTGCAAAGGAACATTGTATAGTGGCTGCTTAGCCTTCGCATGGATATTTTGATGTCTACTGAAATAAAGAAATCAAAAGCTTTTATAGGTCATCGCTGATTCTCTGTTGAGTTAGTAATTGATATCGTATCTAATAGTCATTCTGATTTGCTTTGATTCCTTTTTTACTTACTTCCACAAACAGATATACCTTTCTCAATTTTTCTCCTTTGCGGTGGTGATGGTCCATTCTTTCTCTGCGACGTCATCTATTCTGATTTCCCAACACTTGTTCTCCTTACTCGTGTTTATGTGCTCTTTCTGTTTCTTTTTTTTTCTTTGTCATTAATCTCCTCCTCTCTCTCCCTCTCCTATTCACGGCTTGTCCTCTCTTCTCTTTTCTTCCTCCTTTCACGACTCTTTCTCCTCTTTTTTTTTTCTTATTTCTCCTTTTCTCTCTCTCGACCTCTTATGACTGCTCTTTTTTTTTTTTAGTTCAATAATCTAACTAAAATAACTTGTATATAAGGAGATGAATCACACTTTTTAGGAGAATTATCTTAATAAATGTATGTTTATCACTGAATTCAATAATTTAAGTAATAAATTGATGCTTATTTACGAAAATATTTTTAAAATTTATTAAATAATGAAAATTTAATAATTGTTTAGAAGATGATGTGTCAAAATGATGAGTGCTTAGGTGTCAAATTTGTGAGACTCAACTCACTCTTTATATAATAGATTTCCCAACACTTGTTCTCCTTACTCGTGTTTATGTGCTCTTTCTGTTTCTTTTTTTTTCTTTGTCATTAATCTCCTCCTCTCTCTCCCTCTCCTATTCACGGCTTGTCCTCTCTTCTCTTTTCTTCCTCCCTCTTTCTCCTCTTTTTTTTTTTCTTATTTCTCCTTTTCTCTCTCTCGACCTCTTATGACTGCTCTTATTTTTTTTTTTAGTTCAATAATCTAACTAAAATAACTTGTATATAAGGAGATGAATCACACTTTTTAGGAGAATTATCTTAATAAATGTATGTTTATCACTGAATTCAATAATTTAAGTAATAAATTGATGCTTATTTACGAAAATATTTTTAAAATTTATTAAATAATAAAAATTTAATAATTGTTTAGAAGATGATGTGTCAAAATGATGAGTACTTAGGTGTCAAATTTGTGAGACTCAACTCACTCTTTATATAATAGATTTCCCAACACTTGTTCTCCTTACTCGTGTTTATGTGCTCTCTCTGTTTCTTTTTTTTTTGTCATTAATCTTCTCCTCTCTCTTCCTCTCCTACTCACGGCTTGTCCTCTCTTCTCTTTTCTTCCTCCTTTCATGACTCTTTCTCCTCTTTTTTTTTTTCTTATTTCTCCTTTTCTCTTTCTCGACCTCTTATGACTGCTCCTATTTTTATTTTTTTTTAGTTCAATAATCTAACTAAAATAACTTGTATATAAGGAGATGAATCACACTTTTTAGGAGAATTATCTTAATAAATGTATGTTTATCACTGAATTCAATGATTTAAATAATAAATTGATGCTTATTTACGAAAATATTTTTAAAAATTATTAAATAATAAAAATCTAATAATTGTTTAGAAGATGATGTGTCAAAAGGATGAGTGCTTAGGTGTCAAATTTGTGATACTCAACTCACTTTTTATATAATAGATTATCTAAAATGAGCATGTAATTTTCATGAAAAGAAAAACTAAAAAAAAAGCAAATGATACATGAAAAGAAATAAATATTAAAGGAAATAATATGGATGACTAAATTTCATTTTCAGTTAGTGATCTAATGTGACATTATATTTTTGTTATAAATTATCAAAGAAAGTCCATTTGCTTTTCAATACAAATATTCTTAAACAAACCAATTTAATATTCTAAAAAATCCATTTTAATAGTAGGTTTTTCCACAATAATGAAAGAAATATATAAAGCGAGACCAATGGTCGT